TGCAGAAAAATAACGCCAACGTTCATGGTTTAACCTCCTGTCAAGAGAATGTCGATAATTAAAATAATAGGAAAATTAAGATGATTAATGTGATTCCATGATGAAAACTCAAGGCTACATTCGAAGCTATCGCGAGTTGTTTCGTGGAGCACAAGAGGCCTTGGATAGACGCAGAAGGAACATGTCCGGAAATATCTGTAGGTGCAGGAAATACAGAAGAGACACAGGGAAGAATAGTGCTGCATATCTTCTATCGAATATACGAAAAAACGCCCATAAGAAAAAAATGCCCACGGAAAAAACGCCCATACCTGCACAGTAGGAAAAAATGCCCACGTGAATATTTTTCTGGTTTTTATTTATTTTTTATTCTGCAGACAAGCATCTCATTTATGCCACTGCCATGAAGAGCTGCGTTGATTTTGCAGAGTTCGTTTGATGGATGCCTCTGATGGCAAAGCGCACGAGCATCGTCGTCCAAATGCATCATGGCTTGCGAGTAGATAACACCTGGCTTGTCACACGTCTTGGCCGCTCGCTGCTTCATGGAGACACATTTGTTGATCTTGATAGCTGTCGTGTCCGGAGCACAGTTATGTGCTGCTCCTGGACGGAAATTGATGCAGTCGGCGTCCGTGAACAAAATTCCCCCACAAGATGGGGACCGCAGGGCACAGCGCCACCGGATTTTGTCGTTCTTCTGGGAGTGCTTCACATACATGAAGCCTTCGAAGATAATTTTCCATCCGCCTTTCTGGTTCGAGATGAACTCCATGGTTACTTGAAGTGAAATTAATGAGTTTAAGACACCGTATTATATATAATGCGTTTGAAGATACTTCGAGCAATGGCATCATGATCTCCTCCTCATACTTCACAGGAGGTAGGAGGAAATTGTCAATCAAGAGTTGTCTTGTCTAAAACAATGTTCAGATATTTTTTTCCCATGATCCTCTGTATGGAGCCTATCTTTCCGCCTTCCTTGGGATCAATACGCCCCTACCTCAAAGATAATTGCTGGCAACCGGACCTTCTCATGTCAAACGTGGCATGTCACACTTCAATTACTCCATTGCTATTGAAATCGGTCCAAAGGACAGGCAAATTAGCAGCAAAATCCCACGCACCAGATCTTATCTCAAGCGTTTTTTTCTTACGTTTTCCTTTGCATTCCCGGAAATAATACTCCTTTCGTTAATCCAACGTTGAAGCGTTCTGGAATCTTGGGAATTTTCTTCATATTCATGTTTTATTACGTTGATAGATGTGATACATTTAATGTATTCCATGGTTATATATCACGTTTTGAAAATTAAACAGCATTCGTTTTTACAAATAAAAAAGAAGCCGCGAGAGATATTTGAAAATACGCATGCGGGCATTTTTTCGTACTTTGCAGGTATGGGCGTTTATTCCGTGGGCATTTTTCTTGCGGGCGTTTTTACTGTGGGCATTATTTCCGTGGGCATTTTTTCAGTGGGCGTTTTTTCGGGGCACCCTTCTATCAACTCCGGCTATCTATCCCCTTCATGCACCATAGTCCTCGGGGCAAGAAATCTCTTCACCTTCCACCTCGACAAAAAGATCAGCAGATAGTGGCAAAAAATGCCTGGATCCGGTTCCAATAAAAGTCCCTGCGTTCATGCCCGAATGACCCAGAAAGGGGACGGGGGGTATGTATCCTCATTGGGAGTGGAAAGCCATCCATCATAGATTGTGTAGGTGAGAAGCTCGTCCCAGGGTGCCTAATCCATATCAATCTGGCGGGACAAGGAACGTATGGGGAAAGAAGGAACCCACATGCCCTCCTTTCTTCTCCGTATATCTTTATATACCCTTTATGGACATTAGCTGCATGATCTATCACCCGCTCCGGCTTCGTCATACACCCCTCAAATGGGCCTACAATTCAACTCGTTTATTGATAGCTGTATCAATAAACGGTACAGCCCCCAGTACCTTACGCTCTGAACACAAGAAGTACCGGAGCGGTCATTTTGACCGCTTGATGTTTTTAAATGCAACTCTCTCCGCTCGTTTGGCAACTAAAGGCCTATGCATCGACGAATTTTCCTATATCTAAGTATTTAACATCCTGATACAGCAGTAGACCCGGTGTTGCAAAATCAACGGAGATATAACACGTTATACCCAGAAGTACTGGTGTGGTCATTTTGACCGCAATAGAGAAATCATTGTATTTGGCTTCGTGAGCAACTGTCTAAGCAATTGAGACCTACCATTTTCACGCGTTCGACCTGCTGTGATCACGTGACCGACCTGCTGTAATCACGTGACTGATTTCCTGTGAAACATTGCTTTTCTTGAAGCTGAACTTCAAAGCTACGTATACGTCTTGTATGTATTTGCTTTCCAAAGAAAGCAGTCGTTATCGACCTCCGACTAACATGGCTGCTCCCTTCTCCAGTATTCTCCATAGAGAATAATGTAAATACTTGAATACCTCAAATTTCCTAACATGATGTCATCCTACGATAAATTTGGTATCTTTTAACTCCCATGCTACACTGTCGAATGATATTTATACCAAACCTTAATCCTGCAGGCACCAAACTGAAGTTGAGCAGGATGCTTTCTCGGACAGGTTGAGATTCATTTTTCCTGCAACTTATCAGCTCTATCTGTGTCTGTGTATATGCTGTGAAATTGTGTGAAATGGAAATGATTAGACCAAGAAAACAACGTGATACTTCACTGCAGCGCTTACAGCTATTACAGGACTTGTCTGAAGCTGAATCAATGAATGAAAATGTGAAAGGCCTAAATATTGATAAAAAATGACTATGATCATGATGAGGGGAACAAAGACGCATGACGGCTGTGCCGCGTGGGAGAAGGCAGGGTTTGGCGAGTGCTATGCACACGTGCAGAGTATCATGCCTATGTTCATTCCATAAACATCTAGACTCGACAACGTGGTATACATTTCCAAATGTCCTTTTCAACATTCCAATTATTAAAACTTTTAAACAGACAATTTTTTCTTCAATTTTAGTTCTGTTGTACATGAACAACTTAAAAAACAAATGAAATGTTATAGAATAATGATTTTATACGATTTTTATTGTAGCGGTCAAAATGATCGCTCTGGTACTTCTAGGTATATACGTACCCTCGGTACTTATAGTGTTAAGCTTGAGTGTACAGGAGGTGGGAGGACAAGAGATACTTCAAATTTTCTGACAACACAAATTCAACAGGTGTGCCATTTCACCGAAATTACCATTTATTATTATTGTAAAACGAACTCTTTATGCGTTTTCAACATACTCCATAATGTTCACGTTAATCTTGCGATAGTTTATATGCAAACAATTATTGCAGATTTCCTTGTTTTGGACACAAAATAAAAATGGCTCACTTTAGAAAAGAAAGTTATCTGCTTCGTGTCTTTACAGGGGAAGAAAATAGTGGACGTGTGAATATGACCCAAATAATTCTTTCTCTTCACAAACGTGCGAGGGAAAATATTTTTTTGTTGTTGCGAAGCCGCTTCTTCAGCAATTTCTCAGTATGGTGAACGTATCACCAAAGAAAAATTTGCTGCATCTTTCCAAAAGTGGATATAAAGAGGCACTTTGAGTGGTGACAAGTATGGCGACCATTTCAAAGTATGAGGTAAGTATGAACGATCTGGCATCGTTAGTTTCCAGGAGAGAGTCAACGATAATAATTTAAAAAATGTACTTCGTTGCCTAGACCTGGACCCTATTGCTGTTTGTGCAGTTGGCGAAGGAAGAAGAAAGAACCGAAAGAACGTTATGCAAATTCCATTTTCTATAGGCAAACAAGGCTGCATGGGGACGAGAGAGGACGGAAAGGGAAGGGTGTAAGAGATGGATAATAATATTCGGGAATGTATGAAGTGCAGTGGAGATGAAGACGTGTCGGGAATGATTCATCAGAGGGGACTTCCCTGGACTTCCCACGGGATATGTCCCTTTCCTTTTTCCGGTTTTTCCCCTTTCTTCGTCCTCCTTTCCCACAATAGCATTTGGAAAAACCAGCCTCCTCCTGATTTTCTATGCATCAGATATATTCATTCCCCGCACGGCACCAGGTGCAGGTGAATAAAGCCCACTCCAGAACTTCAGCTACAAATTATTTAGACGTTCGACTCGTAAATAGGGGCTGTCGGTATCCATTTCGTTTCTCGATATAAAATGGTGGCAAAAATAATCTGCGTAGAGAGACGTAGACGCGACTAGACAGTCTGAACTGACAGAACCTGTTACTCCTTATACTCCGCAGTGGAAGCTAAAGAGAGAGACGTCAATGCCTGGCTTTCAACCTGTACATGCTGTTATTTTTTTCTGGCAAGATAATAGACGAGTGAGACTTCTATCAATTCATGCTCGAATTCGTTCGTCTTCCTTTCAGAACGAGGGGAGGAGATATAGGCTTTTCATTGAAGGCAGAAAGAGGTTGATGTCAAGGCTAAGAAAGGCCTTTGAAGGCCTCATCTCGCATCGATTTCGTGTCTTTTTTTCTTTTTTTCTCTCATATCAAAGTTTTCTATCACCATTGCCTTCTCTTCCTCATCCTGTCATTTATTTCCTGGGGCACCGGAATGCGCAATTTGGGCAGGATCTTGAGTTTCTTTTGGGTTTTTCAAGCTCAAAAACACTACACAAACATATAATACACTTTCACCATTTACTATTATCAGACGCGGACTTTCCAACGCATATCAGTCTGATGATAATTAGCCTGTCATATTTTGGAGAAGACAGGTTGCGTGTAGATGTAATGCAGGACGATATTCATGATCCGAAACCTGTCAGCATCCTCATCCCCATCATCCGAGAGCTTTCTGCCTCTTCTCGCTAATTTCGAGAAAGCACGAAAGGCAGGCTCCTCTCATAGGAGAAGTGAAATGTGAAGAATGAGGGGATGAGAGGAGAATGCCCGGGAACATGCGCCGTGAAACGACTGGCGTCCCCTTCCCCTCCTCCTCCTCCCGGTTTCCTTGCAGTCGAGGATCGAAGTACCTTGGCGAAAGGTGTCCCTTTTTCGGTGCATCTTCATCCGAGATGCATCGACCGATGGAGTGTCTCGATGATCCCTGATCTCCAGGATGATCCTCTGGTTCGGTCTCCTCTCCCTCCAACTCCCTGCCTCTCTCCCCAGCGTCGTCTTTGAAGGTTCGATCTCTCATTTTCATCCGATTCGTACGTCACTTGTTTACTTGAACTTCGCGATTGCAGAATTACTCGAATCGAATGCGATTTTTCTTGGGAGCTGCGGAAGAAGATGAGACGAGGAAGGGAATTCAATCAAGGAGTGATCCTCTTATAAGAATTTAATAATATACATTCCCCTCCTTCAAATCCCTTCGCCTTTCATATGCAAAAAGATTTTCTCGAGGCCCATACATCTACATCCGATGAGACACGGTTCTCCCATCGCGTCTGTCATAGGGAGCCACTGCAAAAAAAGCCATGCGTTCCAGATGTCGCGTTTTAATTGGAAGGAAGGGAAAGAAGAGAAAAGAGATATATAGAGTTGTGTGGGAGAAGAAAGGATCCAAGACACAGAAGAAGAAAGATTGGTGCCGTTTTTCTCTGGCGAGAAGACCCCAATATCCTCCAATATAATATAGAGACTCATCCGGCGAAAGAAGAATTTTTTTCCCCCGGAAAGGGGGGTAGATGTGTACGATGGGAGTAATGGTCCCCTTGAGGGAAGCAACATTCCCCTCCCTTTCCGTGAAATTCTCCAGCCATCCGATGCTCCGATGGATTCTAAAGGAACCCAGGAGAGGCGATGTAGGATCTACTATGCACACGGATTATACGCATGAAGGAAAAGTTTGTGACGCGGAGAAACATGGCGTGTCTGGATGGGAATCCTCAGGGCAAAACTTTTCACACGCTAATAGCAGGACTCGGTGATTAAGGAGATGGAATATGGGAAAGCATGACACTGAGGGGAAGCAGATTAATCGATGCCCAAGGATAATTATAGCAGTTCCAAGTGACGGATTTGTCAAAAGTAACATCTACTGCACTTTTGAAATGTGAAGGAGATAACAACCCACCGTGAAGCGTTTTGGTTGCATACTCCAGCATGGGAATCGGACTGTAGAATGAATGCGGAATCGTTGTGTTGATCCCTCGTTTTACGCGTAGATGTCGGAGTACCAGGAGGATTGTATCCGAAGCAACCCAAGATGGTGGAAGGCGTGGCGAATGCCACGATCCAAGCCGGAAAGGAAGCCGTCTTTAACTGCACCGTCGAGGACGTCGGATCCTACAAGGTCAGCTCATCCCGTGGCAGTCTTTAAGATTCCAAAGCTTTTCCGTCACCAGCCGAATTAAGCGATTTCGCTTCCGTGAACAGATAAGAGAAGAGAGATGAGCATTTGTGATTCGAATCCATAGGCCGTTCGAGGATGCTTCGGAATGAAAAATGTTGCTCTCGCTCCCTCGCTCCACAGTAGGCACGAGGGGGATGTCGCATTGGCAGGAGTCGGATTATAACACCCCGCTTTCTATTCCTACTTTTTCTCTCCCAAACAAGAAGAATGAACAAATGAAACCCTTTCTCCCGGGAACAGTTCGACTCTACCTTCGGAATGGCGTAAATTGACCTCGGACTCTCATGGTACACTGAGCTGCAGTGTATCGCTTTGTGCTGCAGCAGACCTGATAACGGCAGTCCATGCTGACTGTCCTGCCGATGGTTACGATAACAATTTTTAATCATAAAAAGCAAATATATAGGGGGGTACACAAAGTGACATAGTGCAACTTCATGCGACTCAAGGTGAGATACCTTACCCGCCGGGTACTACCATGCGACTGTTTTGGTGCCATCCCGTCCCTTTACTCATCCAGAGTCCAATGCATGAGCGAACAACCAATACCTTTCTCCTCTATCCCCTGCGGGTGTCTCTTGATGGAATATGGGCTGGGTTATGAATAATTCCAGGATTCCTGAAAGCTTTCTGCTCTCTCTTTCCCCCTCTGTTTTCGCGCATATATATCAGGGTGACACGGGATGATGCATTTGGGTAGCCATATACAGGACTGCAACGCATGAATAATGCCTCCTCCAGCTGCACGATGTTTCCATTTCTTTCTCTTCCACATTGCTGCTTCCCCACCCTGCCGAAAACCCGCTTGCCGAGAACGCGCTAGTTAATTAATACGAGCAAAGCGCGTATTTAACTTTTGCAGCGCTTCTAAGTTTACAACATGGGAATGGTAAATTCAAAATGAAATATGTTCATGAAGCCAATCTAGATCTCGAATCATACCAAGCGAGGTAGTTAATTACCAATAAAGTTCCTGAAAGGGGGAAAGCGTCTGGAACTCCCTGTCTTGAATGCAATTGCTTCTTCCCCAAAAGTGAGAGAGAGAGGGAAGGTGATTTCCCTGGCGGTGAGGCGTCTCAGTGGACCGAGCACATCGGAAGCAAGACTGCTGTATAATAACATTAATTAAAGAGAGAATGCGTTCATCAGAAAGGAAGCCCTCTCTTGAGACGGATCGGAATAAGTGCTTTTGTCTCCGGATTAGGCCAAGAAGCAAGAAAGGCAAGAAGGAAGAGATCTCTGTATTAGGGAGTTCGGATAATGAATCGAGGGATATTCGTCTACCCCTCCGAAGTTCATTAGCTGGAAAGCCTTCGGTCTTTCATGACCTTGATGTATTCCTCCGCCATCCTTGAGGTCATATTTCAATGTGAAGGCATTTTTTGCTCTTTTCAATTGGAACCCGGGAGAAGAAGAGTTCTTGGAGATTGAGTTCGTGAAGGAAGAATGAGATGGGCATCCTGCTTCGTAGCCTCACCCGCTAGATCCACAGATTGCGGAGACTGCTGGCATTGCAGGCTGCGCATATTCCCTTTACCTACACATAACCTGCCCCTTTCAATCGATACCCCCCTGGGATATCGATTGAAAGGAAAACGTGACTTTCGTTTCCGTCCATGCAATAGGTAGCCCCTGTTCGCCCCATACAACCTTCCAAATTAATTTATACGAGATCGACCAGATGAGGGCAGCAGGCCTTCGAAGCGACTCGGAATGAGATGCCGACGGTTGATACTTGAATCTGCTTCCGAAAGAACAATAGACTCTTAACGGCTGAAGCTAGTCATTTCCTAAAAGAGGCTGACGCACTAGACCCGATGTTTCCTCTGCGACCAGATATGTCTCCTATGGACTGACGTCAAGGGAGGAAGGGAAGGGAAGGGAAGGAAATTTCATGTGAGACAATGAAGCCATTATAAGGGGGAAAGAGAGGAAGGAAATATGGAGGTCGGTGGAAGAAGACAATATCCTTGTTCATCGGAGCGAGGACGCCTGGAACCGGGCGATGAGAGACAACCATATAGTGACGAATAAGGGGGATGCTGTAGAGACCTTCTCAGAGGAAGATTTCATAACCGCTTCGAGCACCCTGCAATTTCGTACGCTAGTACTCGCCCTTTTACCCGTTCATGGTGAGGCTCTACTCGCAACGACCGGGCACGAGGAGACCGAATGGCATCGTGCCCAGAGTCAGCTTCTTCCTAACAGGTGCCGGGCGTAGCGAGATAATCTCATTATCTTGGTACCCTGTCATGTAATTGAATTGCGTCACGGTTTGAAGAGTATTTGTGACCTTGTCTCCAATTCCGCAATTGGAATATCATGGATGCTCCACCAGTCCAGTAGTGAGTTCCATCCCATCGCGCATTCGGCAGAATAAATAATTCTAAGAGGTTCATACCATATGAAGGTAGGAAACTTCATTCGCATATCGCATGAAAAGGGATTCCGTAGGGAATTCACAACCAGATTGAGCGTATGTGAAGGAGGAACGAGGCTCAGGGGGAAATTTCCCAAAGCTGGGAAGGGAGCAATAATTCACCCAGAGAAGGAGTATGGAATTACATCGTAATAAGAATCTCACGTTTCTCTATCTCTTCCCTTTTGGGTCCGTAGTTGAGCAAAGGAAGGGACCTCCCCTCGCGGGTATCATCCCTGGGGGATCTTCTTTATAACTTTCAGCCTTCTCGCACGTCAGACATTTCTCCGGCCCTATTTTTGCTTTCCTTCCATATTCTCCAAGCTTTCCCCTATGGGCCTCGACATTTCATCATCATCACCTGCTTAATCCTCAGAAAAATGAAGTACAAGAAGCGGGCGAGTCTTCTTACAAGATGAATCCGGAATGGTGTTGCTCGAGATGTATGAATTGCGGTGTCTTAGGATGCAAACTATATCCCAAAAGTTCCGAGTCAATGTACGAAGCATACGAATGATATAGTAGGTTATAAATGCTTTTTGATTCACTGCCCCTTGGAATTCTCTTCAACACTTCCTTCCTTTTTTCGAGCAAATCGTTGGCAGAGTACCAGTTTAAAGGGGAGTGTGAGGGGGATGTCGAGCGCCAGCTGGCCATGTATCTTTCTAGGATATTGTATTAAGATGTGGAAGGGAGTCAAAGGCGCCAGCTGCCCTGGATCTCTTGACTCCTATCTGAGGGATCTAGTATTTCACAGGGATTTTAATGGAATCCCCCGGGGAAGATTGATTGCGCTCCTCAATTGGACGGGATCCAGCCAAGAATAAGAGCGATTATTCATCATTCCAGGCGCTACACAATGTGCATGGCTCTCGAGGCGATAAGGGGGAAGACTGGAAAGCCCATCCCCATCGTATAAAACATAGACGAAATTCGTCGAGAAACAACTCCCTCGAGAGCGTGGCCTATATATGGATATGGGCCTTTGATGCATGCCTTCTCGCGGCTGCGATACTCCCCTTCGCATGCTCTACTGATCAAAGAAAATAAAAGCTACTCGTGAGAGCGCATTGGATTTTCTTGCATGCGCATCGGGTAGTCGACATAGACCGTCACTTGATCACAGGCACTATTGAAAAAAAAAAAACATTTGACCTCAGAATTTCATAACCCTTCGACAGAGATAAACACGTGTGGAATTCAGCCAATAAAAATAAGAACATAAGGAGTCGGGGCTAGAGAATCGCATCAGCAGAGAAAATGCATGAAGCGGGATGCTCTGAGGAGCAATTCTTTCTTGACGGTGATGTGGTTGAAGATTGTAGCAACAATAAGTTGCGAATACAAGGGCATCATAATCTGTTAGGAAGGAAACTTAGATATCGTCCCCTCCTCATAGCTTTCAGCCAAGCAAAGCCCTACTTTGCCTTCTTAGGAGTGTGGTTGCCTACTTCCTCTGAGAGATAAAAAAAAATTAATGAATCTGCATACCCACTTCAAGGAATTTTTCCCCCAGTCCAGCAGGAAGTATCTGAACAACATGAAAATAAAAATCGACTGACCCTGGTAAAGCATGAATGTAGTGCGATCAGGAGAAAATTCTGCTAAACAACTTATGCCCTACCCCTAAGACCTCAGTGTACTGAGGTATGCCTTATTTTTCTCAGACAGATGAATTTGGATAGCCATAGTTTAAATGATGACTGGAGAGAACCAATTAGTGATTTTTGGACGTCAGCGCCCCCATGAGCTCTATTTTGCTTCACCACAAGCCTATGATGAGATGCGGATGTGGTGAGAGTTTGGTGAGAGTACGAATCGAATGATTCAGCGATCTATGCTCTGCACTGCTGTGGGTCTGCGTCTGTAGCTCTGGTTTCTTCTTTCTTCGTTTTTTGGAGCGTGGCCTCGCACAACTTTTATTCTGTTTTGTACCGAAGTACTTTAGACTTCGAGTTCTGTTTTTCTTAAGTTTTCGTTTTATTTCTTCTATATCATAGACGACTGCATTGGAACTCATCCAACTAAACACATAGACCCGTAGGCATCATATCTCCCCAGAGATATATCAACATATTTCTCTCTCAGATGAATAAGTTGATGGAATATGGGCGTATTTTGCTACACATTTTTAGAAACTCAGTGTCCAAGAAAAGAAAAACGCCACAAGGAAATGATGTGGATATATTTGGTACCTATGTCCATCAGGCTACATTTGGCTCTGAGGGAGGGGAGGTGGGGGCGCTCTTCCGTCCATACTCCCGAATGGTTTAAAAATAACTCGGTCCTCAAAGGGTTATGGACGCGGGTATCTTGTTATTTTATTTTGCCTCGCCCACTCACTCCCTTTCCAAGTCTCAAAGGTTAGAGGTCTCAGAGTCTATGGGAATTTATACGAGGGAGAGGGTTCGCGGGGTTGGAGAGCGAAGGCGCATGATTGGACCGGGAATCTCCTGGGCCTGGTAGCTTATCGTATCGTATCGTATCGTATCTTAAGTATTTTCGGCACTTGCTGCTTCTAACGTGCCCCTAGAAGGTCTGCTGAGACAAGTCAAGAGCCACGCTGCAGTTTTTAATTCTTATTCATTGTTCCACTGAAAGACCTTTCAGTACTGCCAGCGATAGTTCAGTACTTGCTTCGCCTTCGTAGAGTTTCTGATGCAGATGGCAAGTCATTCAGTGTTCCAATTGTAATCGATTTATTAGATTTTTTTTACTATGAAGTTTCCTTTTTATTTATTTTTTTTTACCGGTAAGTACATTTCAGAATCTGCAGTTCTTGTTCATTGGTAGATGAGTGTGAAAGGTACGCTTGGGTGGGGCAAGATATGCCAAATTTCTTAAGGTATATTCCTTACATCCCTGAAAGTACTGCAGTGCTTCCCCAAAACTCGATACACCGGGCTGAAGATGGTGACGACAAAACAGGTCGCATTAGTACCTTGCCGAAATTGGTATAGAAGCTTTTCTTCCTAATAGAAAAAAAGATAATGTAATTGCTTGGGTGTGTCTGTCTGTCAGAGCGGACTTTCATCAACGTTCTTGGAAATACTACTACCTCAACATTTGACAAATTGTCTCTGCTCCTTAAAATGTGGTAAGGTTGATATATATTTGGTTTCCGAGAAACTTGGGCTGATAACAATTTATATTTAAATAAATCTGTAATAAATTATCTCTTATACAGTAGAAGCACTGGGAAATGGATGGCTTTTCTTTCTTCGCACTCCGTCTCCTGGGACTCTCTTGTATTCTCCTCCTCCCTTCGCTCATCATGTCTCTCATTATTTCGTCTGGATCTTTTATGACGGAACATTCGAAAAAGAATAAAGAAGAATAGGCTCGCTATTGGATTAGGCATTTCTCAGATTCTTCCCTCTTGGGAAGCCTATTGGTTTTCCAATCGTCAGTATTTTCTTGTACCTTTCGTTCTCGTCCAGTCCCGAATAAGCCCAAAATGCGCATTCAAATGCTTAGACTAATGAGTGATAATGTCTGAAGACAGATTAAGCAGACTGCAAGGCTAACTGTCGGTATTTTTCAGTATTTTTTCTTTTACTTGTCTTTACCTTCGACATCTCGAATAGGAAGACCACGTTCTAAGACGACTCCATATTTTTCCATCGGTTGATCCCAAAATGCTTCGATTGTTCGCCACGTCGGTTCAATAGCTCTCTTGAAGTGCTTCACCCTATGAGCATTTCTTATAACGTCTTACTTTAGACCCCTGCGAAGTACTCTGTCACCATAAGGCATCCCGCCAAGGTTACTCATTTCTGCAAATCCGAGTGGAAACTCCAGCTGTAGATTGGCTTGCTTGATGAAGAACATGAACTACTTTTAGTTTTAGTTGTCATGTAGGCTCAAATACATTTTATTACGTGGACATAAAAACGATATCGTTCCTTCATTTTCGGTAGCTTTTGTTTCAGGTTGCTCTGTGTATTTTCAATTAAGAGTACTTTTCAGTACTTTTCAAGGCACTTAGTCCCTCTGAGGCTAGGTTGCCGATGCTGCGTTTGCTGACGTCCCTTTATAAACAATTTTTTTCAAAGAAAATACATTTCAGTACTTTCCAGACAATATAAATGCTTTAGACTTTGACACACCAGTATCCACAGACTTGCCTTAAGGTCTTCTAGCGACCAAAATCCATCTGGCTGTTTTGTTTCGTGATAGCTGGATCTGTGCTTTGGATTAAAAAAAAAAACTTTAAAGCTTTCTGCACCTCTGTGGAACCCAAAAGGCCGACACCTGAAGCGAGCCGAATCCAATGGTACCTTATTTGCACGAATCACAGGCTCGGCGGGGAGGAAGAGGGGAGTGGGGCGCCCTAAGGGGCATGGGTTTTATGTCCTTCCTCCTCACCCACCCACCCCCTTTCAAGGTCAATTCCGTCATTTGTTCTTTGTCAGTCTAAATGCTTTGAATGGTGAGCTTCTTCAGTACTTTCAGCACCAGATGATTTGCACTTCTCAACTAGACCGATCGAAGTTCTTCAAGAGTCCCCCAAAAGCACACCCCTGCTGCAAGACGAATGCATTGGTAACTCATTAGCCGAAGTTAAACGTAAAGTTTTTGTTCTCGGTCGGTCTGAGTCCGGTCGTTGAAAGAAAAAGGAAAAGATCCTCGAACACGTCTTTCTAGATCTCTAAAAGTACCTTACTGTTACATATTATAGAAACAGAGAGCTTGGGGAAGGACGTAAGTCTAAACGCTTTACATTCAATGTGTGACCGTGAACGGGAGTTGCGAAGGAGGGAACTTGAATTTGAATGGGCTAAATTCCACTACGATTCGTACTACCAGTATAAGGCACTGTCGCGTTCTTTTTTTTTAAGTTGAAGTATGGGACTGAATACCATGTATATGCGAAAAATCTGACAAAATTAAGATTGAAAGAAGAATGAAGGCCTTGTTAGTGCAAGGGTTTTTTCAAGAAGTAATGCGGTGCCAACAATTAAACGAATGACCTGAATGAACTTGTATATTTGCGCATGCAGGTGTCATGGATGAAGCAGGAGCCGGAGACGTCGATCCTGACGATGGCTGACGACATGGTCACCCGAAATCCTCGGGTGACTCTGACTAGGAACCCGCCGAACGTGTGGAGACTACACGTGAAAGAGATCCGCGAAGAAGACAGAGGCTGGTACATGTGTCAGGTGAACACGGATCCTGCCTCCAGCCAATCAGCCTACCTCAACGTCGTCGGTCAGTCACGTTCTCTTTTGCACTCATTCCGATATCTTCCGTTCAATTGTCTCTTGCCCAATGTGGGTTCATTACGCTGTGGGATTATTTCAATTCTGTGCTAGCAAAAACGTCGTTTCAGTATTTTTCACAGTAGTTTGTTCTCTAGGACGCAGAATGTAGATTCAGTTGCAGTATGAAATGCTGTGGAAGTGTCTGCCGTATTGCTTGTATATGCTGTGTAAATGTCGTCTGTCGTACAAGACGGGAGCCCTGCTTGAGTGTACAATATAGGCCAGTAGTCTGATTGGTAGACGGTTAAACCGTTGTGCAAGCAAGTCAGAACCCGAACAACGTGACATAACCCATGCTTTGATTGGTATTTCACTGTCATCTGCAACAGTTGAAGCGAAGGACGAAAGCTAATCTGTTTAGCATAAGCATGCCATCTTTCGCATTCGAAGCAGGTGAAGGACGTTTTCCGGTAGATGGAATCTACAGTATGAATAGAATTGTAGATGCGAGAGAATCAGAAGCTGCACGTCACCGAGCGGTGTCCAGCTTGGCTATCGATTTATTGAGGACTGCTGTCGTAAAATGTGTCGTGGATATCTATTCCATTCTGCTACTTGTAAATCTAAGCAAGTCGTAGTTGCGCTTTCTACATTTCTTATTTTGAAATAACATGCCAAAAGGTTGAGATGACAAAAGTGCTCGAGTCCCTACACCCATGAATTGGTCAGCGGTCGGGCTGTAAGCCTTAGTCTAAGCCACTGTACATTAGCTCCGGCCACTTAAGAATTGCAAATTAGGTCTCGCTAAGACGGATGCCTGGAGCACCGTGAAAGTTGTGTGGTCAAAGCTCTCTAATGTGTGCAAGATAAAGATATCGACCAATTGTGAGTAGGAATGACAAAGAAAGAGATTTATTGTATACTTCCTGAATGAAACGTGTGCATGTTCACTCCTGGATATGCCGATATCAGGTATCTGAAAGCAACGAAAAAGAAAGAGAAGCTATTTTTCTGATCTATTGGGGTTATCCTTGTGCTGTCAACGTCCGAAGTCTGTTTTGAAGGTTTTTGCAGGTATTCCTTCCGCGAATTCTTCATCATTGGATTGGCCTGGATTGCCATAGAAACCTGACATGTCTTTGATCATCATCGTCATCTCAAATGACATTTCTTTGACTTCTAACTCCTCCGAGTTCTTGAGAAAAATGATGACCCTCTAAATCAAGTGGGAATTCGTAATTTTTATAAGTCCTGTTTCAGGTGCCTTTCTTTAGCATTTTCTTATTAGGCTTCAAGTTTGATACTACCATTGCCATTGATAGCGGACAGAGTTATAATGACTTGCCCTGAATAAAGCTGGAAACAAAATACATAGCGGTTAGGACAGCAGCGCGTATGTTTAGAAATGGCTGGGGACTGAGTAGGAGGGTGGAGGTGAGGGGGATAGGCCAAAGTTCAGCTACAACCTCTCTCACTTGCTCCCTTTCCTTTCCACTTCCAATTCTCCCATCTGAATTTTTTTTAGTTCATGCCATGTATCATCACTCTTCCCTGCATTGTGGTCAACGCACCATGAATATCTTTTTGTACGCAAGCAGATGTGGCTTAAAGCAGATGGATCAAATTCATAATTTTGGAAAGTGAAGGTGGAGCATAGTCACCTTGGTCCTTCCTGGTCCTCCCCGGTTTCGTAGCTCCTGGCCATATGAGAAACTTCTGGCATGTCTTTCAGGTGTTTGGATCTCTAGGATACCGCTTACCGAGCGTAAAGTCCTTCGCATCCCTACATATCGTGAGGGGTTTTATATTTCCACGACGACAGGTTCTCTTCCTCTTATTGATACGTTTCAGAAAAGCAAAACGCAATATTCACGAGAAGAATTAATCCGTAAAAAATGCCGTTATAACATTTTTTCTCAATTAGATGCCTTTCAGGGCCTTCCCAGAATCTCCTCAGAGCGTAATGAGGAACATTTAATAACAAGTTCATAGGGCGCGATTTTGTAGACGGGTACGTATAGGCAGGAATGGCTATGAAGAAGTGAATACCTGATCCACCTCCCCGGGGTGGGGAGGTAGATCCTATTTTGGAACCTCGAACAGAATGACCGAATTCTATCGAAATTGTTGGTTAGTGTTAAGTAGGGCTGTCACGATAGTAGTTTTCAAAACATCGATGCATCGACCAAAATTATCGATAGTGTATCGATGCATTGGAGGGGGGAGGGAGGGGGGGTTGCGCCGGAGGATTCAATCTTTTCTCGCCTCTATCGGAGCGAGGACCTTTATCTGTCTTCCATAATCTCACGCTAGAGATCGGAGGGTGTGGGAGGAAGGTGTCGCAACGAGTAATGAAATCTACCATACCTCCAAATATCGAGGGTGATATCCATTCAGCAATGGATGCCTCAGGACAGCCCTAATTTTTTCTTATTGTTGTTGAGAATCAGTCGCCAAGCCCGTTCATGTAATTTTTTTCTCATTTCCTTCGTCTTACACGGTCTTCTTTGGACATTGGCACCGACAGATAGCAAACCTGCCGATGGTGCTGTACCGTCGGTTGCCGAAACATATAGAAAGGGGAAAGTACCACCAATGTACGTTTCGAAATCAAGTGCGTATAAGATCAGTCCACTTTCACAGCATGCACCTGATAAGATCGAACCCAAGACTGATACAGAAGAGAAAAAATTTTTCTCAATCTTCCCTCCCTCTCCTTTCCCACTTCCTGTCTCCGATCCAACTTTTTTTTCCATCCCATCTTTTATATAGTCAGTCCAGCATTTCCAGAATTTGATCGTGGTAGGAAATTACAGGCCTATGCGGGTCACGCCGCCTCCTTTCCCCACACAGATGGACTGTATTGTTCCGTACTCGCCTCAATCCAATGGGACATTTTTCCTTCCAATACATCGCGATGGTCGAAAAAACTATCGATACCTCCAATCATCGATAGTAGTATCAATGCATCGATCTAACGTGACAGCCCTAGTTTTAAGCTTCTGCCGTACATATTCCATCTTAATTTGAAACAAGGGCGTCTCGGAAGTCAGCAACCTGCCCCAAATATTCTCGATGGCAAATTAGCCCTCTATAAGAGCCGAAGTAGCAGATCCTTTTGAGGATGCTGAGTGAGCCATCGAGTTGATGAATGGAAACTAGAGATGAGAATTGAGTCAAAGACACTATGTCTTCTAGTCAGGGAATATAATTTCCTTCTACCTCTGTTAGTTCCGATGAAAGTATTGCCGGCTGAAATGGAACCTCGTGACTTGATTTTGAGGAATGGAGACATTCTACGTGGCTGCTCTTTTCTTAAGTAGGTTATTTCCTTGCAGCCTGATAAACAGAAAATCATGATACCTATTGTTGAGAGGGGCCTGGGGCCAGAAAGCACACAAGTTGCCCTACGGGCTTGCTTTATCAAAACACAGGATTCTGTCTGCAGTGCGCTGGAACGTCGGAGAATCAGTATTGCCGGAGTGCAGGTGAATACTCAATGCTTTAGTATTGTCAGTGTTGCCGAAAGCGTATGAATTCTCAATCTCTCAATTTCTTACTCTGCGATAGCGATGCACAGCCTTTATTCTATAAAGAACCAAATTGTGATTTCGGACGATGTTCGAAGGTAATATCTGCCGTATCCGTTCATAATGAGACTTTTAGCACTGCTCTGCGTAGACCATCTTCCCTACCTTCAGTTAGAAGTAGTCTGCAGGTTGTGTATCGCTGCTTTAAGACATACTCGTGAAGCCCACCGAGCTCAACTACAATCATCCGAGACTTACCTCCAGGATCAAAGGAGACAGGAGAGAGAAGTCCTATAGGAGAAGATGAGATCGCAGTTATAAGGACAGAGGGCATGGAGTAAGTAATATGAGAAGGGGAGGAGGTCTAAATAGGCGAAGCGGAGAAGCCGCAAAGAGGAAAAGGTGCAGGCCTTGCGTCATGGCGTAATGGGGGAATCCTGTCCCAGAAAATGGCCTTCTTTTCCCACCATTCAAAGGAGACCATCATCTTCCTCCCCCTGTCGAGAAGAAAAGACCTTCCATCTTGATCAGCATGAAGGCACAAACTCATCCCTCACCAACGATCATCGGATGGGCTCCACGTTGTACGACGACTCAGCTCATACCCTTCCCGTGGGTATAAATCCATTCTGTGAAACCTGAAATTAAGGGCTTCTCAATCTTTCCCTTTGGCGCTCGTCAAGACTCTCTGATAATGGTCTAAAGAGAGGCAATAAGGAATGTCCTACTCCCACGTGCTCATGATGTCGGAGAGGACTAATGGAGAGTCAGACCAAATTCAATTGCCAGTGAAATGGTCCCGAAGAAACTCTGTTATTTGCTTCCAGACTTCAGCTCTTCTTTTTTCTTTGCTTTTCCTTCCAGGCAATTTCCTTAGGAAGGAGTCGCTTGGGGAAATCCATGAATCGATGTCTTGCATTATTCCCTTTATCCTCTGGCTTTTTCTCTTTCCCTTTCGCCTGTTCACTTTTTTCCCTACTGTATTTCCTCCTTTGCCGTTGAAGGAGGCATATTTGCGTATCGAATTCAAAATTATATTGACTGATTCGCATGTAGGAGGAAGTTTATCTCAATACTCGAGGATCATGAAGTATTTAATGATGGGGATCAACTCCCTACTCCTGTCATCCATCACTACAGTGGGTCTCTACGGGTCATTGCATGTGCACGGACCATCTACTTCTACAACAAATCCATCGTATCAACTAGACTCTTTCCAAGTTGTGTACACATGTATTTACTTATTGCTGCTCGTGTATCCATATTTATTTACTAATTTTGCGCATCGTTTATGCATTAAAAATTTGATTTATTTATGTTTCGTAATTATTTGCATAATTATATTTATATTACGCTAAAATTGTTGACAACTTACTCAGCGACATCATTTCATTGCTTTACTTTTGGGAATTTATTCATTCTGATGCAATCCATTAACTTCCCAGATATTCATGGAAGCTTCCATTCGCTTATCCCCTTTGCATTCCATACATTTCATTAGCATATAGTTGCATCTGCTGGCCTGAAGCTGTTGGGAGCCTGACGATGAGGAACTCTTGACAGATGCAAAATAATTAATTCGTACAGTAGTTCAAAGCTAGCGTGCCGCGAAGGCTTGATACCAGCAGATCCCACATACAGCGCAAGAGGAGACAGAGGAAGTAAGGGGAAAAGAAGAAATGAGGTTAAAGTATTGTCGTCCTGAGTTCTGCACTGCAGCCTTCCCGGACACTCCTCTTCTAGGTCTACTTTCCACGTAACAAATGATCCGAAATGGGAAGCAAGCCTCGAGTAGACACGTCTAATGATCCTGCAAGGGGGAAAAAATCTCCCGGAAGCCTCACGATCCTTCGTCCTATTCCAGTCCCGCCGTTGATATCTGAGAAATCGGAAGGAATCATCACGGTGAGGGAGCACGACGATGTCATACTTCGATGTTCAGCCACCGGACGGCCGCAACCCACCATCACATGGACGAAGCAGGGAGACAAGGACTTCAACGCTTCAATAGGCAAGTGTCATTTTATCTGCCGAAACATCCGCTATCATCGAGCTTTCGTTACGATATTTTTTTTTCCTGCAGAGCATTTCACCCTGAAACTTAAGGCTTTTTCTCCGGTCTATAAAGATACATTTTTATTAGAAGCGAAATAGAGGGTACCATATGCATTGCAAGGTCAGTCTTAGGGACTACGAGAAAAGCCTAAGCTCGAATGAACCTCCTATAATCCAGTCTCACAGTGAAAAAGATGCTGTAACTAATGTTCCTTAACACGTTGGCGACAATGCGTCCTGATGCCAGGATGCAGATTTTTTTTCAATGAATACCCTCTGGAACTGTTGAGAACGTTCCAGAAGATTATGATTTCGTAATTACTGATAAAAATTCCAAAAAATTCAACATTTTAAAAAAACTCGGCAAAAAAAAATGTTTTCTGGGACCATGCGTCCTGATGGCAGGACGCATTTTTTGATAAAAAAAATGCGCGTGGTCCCACGCGGCGGACAAGCAAAAATAGGCTGGTCGTCAACGTGTTAAGGATGAAATGAGTTTCTATCAAGGAGGAAATCGATGCGACGCTTGCCCGACCATTGAAAGAGGCCAGCGGAAAACGTCATCACGCAGGCTGAGCGCATTACACGACCATCAAGAGAACTCATTCTTTCCCCCCTTCACATAGATTTCGCATCGACAGTCCATTCGAGATTCAGATGGGGCTGTTGACACGAAAAGATCTCTCTTCTTTTCTCCTTTTCTCTCTCTCTCAATATCTCTGGCAGGCTGGGAAGTGGAAGGTAAACATCTCCTCGGCCCTGTTTCAATTATCTGCTGCATTGAACACTGTCCGAGGAATCAATCGCACGTGTCAAATTCAGTTGCCTTCACTGAAGCCGCTATTATATCGTTCTGTATCATTTTATGTGTATACTTTCTCCCTAGGAAGTAATGTAGGGATGCTTCGAATGGGGAATATTCTCCGGGGAGACTCGGGAGTCTACATTTGCAATGCTTCCAATGGAGTCTCACCACCCGACATCATGAAGATCCTTCTCAACGTGGAATGTCAGTTCTTTCATCATATCGTATAATTCTCGTGCAAAAAATTAGCTCCTTTATTGCTAATTAGTTTCTTTTTGAGGCATTCTTCCTCTTGTCTTACCTCGCTATTTGGTATTACTTCCATTTTCTGATTAGCACATGCGTGTGTGTGTGTGTGTGTGGAGCGGGGGATGGGGGGGATGAAGATTTGCTTTTCGTGAAACAGAATGTTCCACCCGGCATTAATCGCCATTCATCTCGAAATGAGATGAAGAGCACGGATGGAATAATCCACACGGGATAATCTGAGAGAGATGATGTAAAACAGACGACTGGTGATGAGGGGGGCCAACAATGGTCATCGGTCGATTGCCCCCCTTTTTTCTCCTTATGACACATTTCCTCCGTTTGATCGAATGCCATCACCAGACGGACTGTACATACGCAAGATGGATTTTCATTGTGATGATGATGATCACGGGGTTCGTCGTTCGTCACACGTGCTTGGGTGAGCATACATTTAGCTCCCTCCAGTCTTATTCCCCGTCATTTAGCACTCGACCCTCTGTTTCAACTAGAACCCTGCAACCTGTGGGTTCAATGAGAGTTCCTTTCCTCGGCTTTGGCTGCGCTGGACGCGATTGAGAATTTCATCTTCTTGCAGGACTATGTCATCGACCTCGTTTATAGTTACAATGCGAACCGTACTGTCGCTGTCCGTCCCCCTCTCTCTGGGGGATATTGCCCACGTATGTGTGCCATTTCCGAGACTCCTTCACTCTAAATGCATGCGGAAGTGGAGAGGTCATGAATAAATCGGAGATCTTCATCAGATGACCCTTTTTCTTTTCGAATGGTACTCCCATCACTCCATTGCTCCCTCTTTCCACTCAGGACTATTTCTCCCGTCTGAGTATCCTACTACTTGGAATGGTCCATTGCTATTAATTTCACATGTATTAGGAGCATGTGCGTACGTAGGTTTATAGTTTCATTTATACATTGGAGCCGATATTCATTCATTCACTCCTACATTCATTTTCTCATTCCCTGATTAAATAAGCAATTTGCTTAATTATACATTGAGTTGCACATTTACCGACTAAATTGAAATCGTCTTTAAAAACTGGAAACAATTTTTTCATCTATTTCCGAAAATAAGGAAAAGCCTTTTGTTTAAAGTATTACAGAAAAATGTTGACAATTCATTTTCGGTTGTTTGGAATATAACGTTTTTTATGGAAAGAATCCTGTGAGACACAAGGATTACATGATGTTTTATGTTGTAGATCGAATTAATTGAGTAGCGAAAATACGAAAACATTCTTTGGATATTCCATAAGATCAGGGTGACTGAAGTACTTCTTGTGCTACATGCGACCCGCAGCTTCATTTTGGGCACCACTGCTGAAGGTGTGAGAGAAATCTCACTCTTTCAGGTCTATTCGAATTATCTTTTTTGGTGCTATATGAATGAAGAGAGATTTTCCCTCTTTCCCTTTTGGAGAATCTTCTAAATGGCAAATAAAGGGGGGGTTCTTGGGAGTCTCAAATATTATTTCCTACTTAAATTCAAAGACTTATTAGAAACGAATGAAAAACTTATTAGACAGCTCATGCTAGAAATTCGGGCCACTGTTTTAGTAGCAATAAAAATTACGGCATTGTGCAGCGCTTGAGGTACTCAGAATTTCTTAGGCGTTATACGACCGGCTTCAGAGTGGCATGTGAATGGCTGGAAATTCCTTTAATATGGAATGATTGACATACTTCATAAATAACGTAGAATACCTCTCAGCGTTGTCCTTAAATTGAGTATTCTAAGTGAGCAATGTCTAATTTGACTAATATGCAAGGAATAAAAACAGGTTTGTAGTTGTTTCGATTCGTAGAAATTACGATCGTGGAACAAACGGGATGGGGGATGCAGACGGGGATTAAAAGTGACCCGTTATGTTGGCGTCAGAGGGACTCTCAAATTGGCGCCAGAGTGACCTCTTTTTCATAATAATTCATAGGCATATATTTCGATTTTCTCAATTTGTTCATTTTAAATTTCTGTCGACCTAGAGTGGACAAATGCGAAGGTTCACGATTGAGGAATGGAAGAGAGGATAGCTGCAAAGGTAGGGAAAGGGAAAGGGAGGGAAAAGGGCCCACATATTGGCTGAGGAGGAGGACTAAGGTTTTTGGGAAAATATGGAAGGGCACTGATCAGCGATAGGATTTTCCCCCAATACAAGCCAAGAGGGATTTCTTTTCTTCTTTTTTTCTCCTCTCCTTCCCGTTCTATCCGATGACGCTACTTCGGAGTTTTCCCTTCACGGCTAATTAACCCGAGAACGGGGTCTCTCTTTTTTTTTCCTCCCTTTTCTTCATGCCCTGATGTCCGATTTCTCTCCTTTTCTTGGTGTATAGTTCCCCCGACCATCTACGTGACGGATTCCCTGATCGAGGTCTACCCGGGACAGGAGGTGGTCCTCACGTGTCAGATCGAAGCCTATCCCCCTCCCTCCGTCTTTTGGGCCACCGATGACGGCACTACTCTTATATCCGGTGAGACAAGAACCCTCGCACATTTCCTGCCAAAAAAAGGGAAAAGGTTGGTTCTTGTATATGAGAAAAATGCTAGGATATAGAGAGATAGATAGAGAGAAGCGGGAGGGAAATCTCGGGGGTAATGGTCTGCACACTCTGAGGATTCCCCTGGGATCCTCCCCCAGATACACTCACTCCTTCCTTTTGTTGTCCTCGATCATTCACGTCCCATTCTATCCCAACTCATTCCAGAAACGCCACAGGCAATTATTATCCTATCCTGCATGGATTGGATAAGTACGCACTTTCTCGGCCTCGTTCCGTAAGAGCACGACCGACCTATTCATATGCATTTAATCGTGAATGAATTCAAGGCTCACGAAGAACAACAATTACTAATATTGAGTTATGGTTTGGAAGAGTACTCGGCAAAACTTTTTGATCTCGTTAGAAAGGGGCTTGCTAGTAATTTATAGAAGCGTGAAGGAAAGGGAAAGAGGAGAGAATGGTATTATAAAAATCGATGAGAGGACTGGGAGAAAGAGATATGGAGATAATGGAGTCCAAGAGATATTCTTGGGAGGGAAAGTGGAGGCTGGATGGAATTGCAGAAAAGGGTGAAAGATATGCCGTGGATTAGATGCGAGCTGGGTAGAGGAGGAAAGAGAGACAGAAAGAAAAGATTCAGATGGGAATTTTGATTAGCTAGCCTGGCATGGATCAGAGAGAAATAAGAGAAAAAACTCCCTAAGATATCGGGCTCGTTTTCTTCGAGGGCTCTCCACCTTTAAAATTTATTTACGTCACTTTCAATATATTTCATGCTGGGATTCTTTGGATGGAATTGTCTCCTCATGAGTAGAGGCGCATTGTGGACTGTGAATATCCCTTGGACCTTCGTACGTCCAATGGATACATTCATCGTGAATTCTGGAGACATCCCTATTTCATCTCCTTGGGATAGTATTGGGATGTGTCCCTGGATTGTTCCAAGGACCATGGACCATAACTTTCTGGGATGCTAAATGGATGTGCATGTCTACTCTGGACGTTCAATGCTTGTGAAACAGGCACTTTAATCCATTATGAATAATCTCATTCTCCATCACTCTCTTAAGCACGAATATATCTCATACTCCAAGCCCCACTAAAGACGAATGTTTCTTAATTGGAAAGAACATTAGTAGAAAATGAAGAAATTGTCCTCTCTTGCAAGACGCTTAATGAAATGAAAACCAGAGCAGAATGGAAAAAAATAACAATTTTTTAAAAATGATCTTCAATGGTACGAAACTGATGGTTGATTAGGTGCAAGCAGCAGTAAAGCCGTCTAGACACGCCGGTTTTTCATGTAGCTGGTGACTTATGTGGAACTGACACTAGTTGCAGTCTTGGAACTTCATTCTGTTTTGGCTTTGTAGCGGGAGATTTCTAACGATCTCTTTAAAAGTTAAACAAGGCGTCATCTGTACTTGCAATAAATTGCATAACAAATGATCACATGTGGCCAAATATTTCTATTGGTTAAATCCAAAAATCCCTTTAAGATATTCTTAAACTCAAGGCAAAAAATGACTATGACATCGTCTGTGAAACTAGGGTCACAGACTCATGGCTACTATGTTACAGGAACATGCTCGTAGCAGGAAATGTTCCTGTAATCCTATAATATCGAGGTGTTGGATGTTTTCCCCCCATATATATATATTTTTTTTTCATTATTTATTACACTGTTTTTCATCCGTTTTCAGGAATGAAGTATGTGGTGAAATCGAAGGAGGAGACGCCGTATCGACTGAGTTCCTCACTGGTAATCAGATCGGTGAATTCGGAAGATTTCCGTAACTACGAATGTCATGCCTCGAACCCCCTCGGCGAAGGCATCGGATCCATGCAGCTCAAGGGTCTGCTTCTATTCTCTTCGCATTCCATCTTTTTCTTTTTAGCTCTTCATTCATCCAACCACATTCTCTGTATAAGATATGAGGCCTTATTTAGTGATCAAAAGAGAAAGCGTATAATTAAAATCTTTGACGTTGAAACGCGAATTCGCTTCGATGAGTTCCGAGCAAGAAGGTATTTCTCCGGACTGCTTTCCATATATGCAAATTCGGATTCCTTTAAGCAAGGGAAAAAACCTCAAAAAGTTTCTTAATTTCATTACAGCCGACGTTTCTTCTGCGCCGCTTCTCGAGTTAGTGTCGTATTAGCATTTTGCTGCATGAATGTTCCGAATGGTATCAGAAATTATGAGAAGTCGAATGGTGAGATTTAACATGGGGTCGGTACGACAAATTTTCAGCACAGGAAAGGCGATGTAAGAGTTTCGTTGAAAGATGTTTACTGTTCTGGCAAGTTTGGCAGAGCCTGCTGCTCCAAAATCTTTCGAAGTACTAAGAATTTATGAGATTAAATTTGGCAAAGTGGCAAAGACTGAGTATGGGTAAATGAGAGTTTCGTTCGGAAATATCCAATGATAAAGCCAGAGCAAGAGTTAAGTGAAAGTCCCCCAGCAGAAATTCTCCTGGCCTAAGTAGGTGACTGGATCTCGCCTGCCTAGAATGCCTGGCTTTTCCTCTCCTCTCCTCTAATAGGATGCAATCCCTTTTTACCCCCGGAAGGATCAGGGCGGCAATGTTTCAATTCGCTACGTAAATCCCTGGAAAAAAAAACTATTTCCTCTGAATTGCAAAGTATGCTTGCTCTCGCTTTGTTTGGAAATATTTCACGCTCTATGCTTTCGCTGGAACATTCCTCGTATCAGATACGATACGAGAGGGATGTCGGACCTGATGACTTGCGTTCTGTTCGTCCCCTCGGACATTGTTTATCTATCCACTGCATGTCCTTTATCAATTATTCAGGGATTCATGAGACAAACGGAGATTAATCACGTGACACGACGAGGGGAAAAGTAGGGCCGCACGGAAGGGTACATAATATGCCATATAAAAAAGAAACAAAAAAATAGAGAAAGGAAGGAGGGAAGGAGATCTTCTCATCCATCAGAGAGGATATGAGAGAGGAGAAGACTTGACGGCCGGCCCGAGGAAGAAGGAAGACTTCCGCCCGTTCCTCTATCCGTTCCTTGCTTTCCTTCCCTTCCCAAATCTTCCCGGAGAAACCTAAAAAAGGAGAAATTCCTTTTTTTATATTTTTCTTTTTCTCCTCTTACTTCCCCGTGGATGATAAATGTCTTTGTAATGATGTAGGAAGAAGAAACGGTCTCTTGATAACCCAGGCGCCGTTCGCTTTCACGGTTGTTTTTTTTTTCTTTACCATACGGCATATATCCGAATAATGGCTCCATCCCTTCTCTCGCCCGAGGTTATTTTGCATTTCATTCACTCCCCCTTCCAGCTAACACACGATCTCGGTGCGTCTTGTCTGAGCAGCCTGTCCGGAAGGGAATTTTCCGGCATGAGACGGATTGTGACCTACCTCAAAGACATTCCCTATAGCATAAGGAAGATGAAGATTATAGGAGAGAAATCTGAAGGGGAAATTATGCTGAAGCCCACGTTCAATTCCCGGAGAGAGCGTGTGCCAAAAATAGCACCGATAAATGCATACATTAATCACTTCTGATGAGAAAAACAAAAGCCTGCCAGCCTATATTTCTTCTACATAAACAGCACCAGGAGGAACTTTTCAATTATATAGAAATAAGAAATGCGTTCCTCCGTCAATAACAAACGAATGCGAATCCTTTCTCAAAGCAAGGTGATTCTCAAAGCAAGCTTCCAGCAAACCAGGGATAGAGAAAGCAGAAGAAAGGAGTCAGAAATGTAGTCTATTTTATCCAGTCTCTATGAGAGTCTGGAGTCTAGTCTATTTTAGCCAGTCTCTATTAGTTTATTGGATCAAGGGGAAGGATGCTCCCCCGATCATGATCCTTGGCTTGGATTGATCCCCTTAGTCTCCATTCCTTGCTCCCTCTGAACAATTCTCGCTTGAATGAATCCCCTTTCCCTCATCCCTTTCCATCCGCTCTGTATCCACATCTGAAAAGAGGGGAAAACAATAAAAGTTTGGAGGGATTTGAATCTACCATCTCGTTTTTAGATCCTCTAAAGCGCAAAATTGAATTTTTAACCCCACAAACACACGATATGAGTGCATGCCACTGCAGCCATCGCAAATGTTATGCAATTTCATGAAATAAGTCATTTTCATGAAGAATTGAAGTCAAAGAAATTTCAACTCGCTATTCAACTCACCATTTCCGTCGAGTTAATCTATTAATAATATTCTTCAGGGAGGATGGGATGTCACTCCTACACCATATTGGATAGTCTTTTATTTGGAACGGGATGCAAGATGAAGGCTGTTGCGAATTCGAGCTGAGTTCAAGTTGTTTCCTTAAAAATCTACTTCAAAGCTGGTGAAAAATTGAGAACATTATCTCCTTAATTGGATTGGAGGAGTAGCATTAAAGGATGGATGATACCTCTTAGAAGAGAGAGAAAAAATAAAACGACTGAGACCAGAGATTTGGCTTCTTCAATCACTCCTCATGCTCTCCAGGATTTCTCTATCGATATGAAGGAAAGGGGGGCGGAGGAGGGGGAAGCAGAAACGGCGGGATTTCCTTGATGGACTTGGCCTTAGAGGCGAAAGGAGATATCTCTCCCGCAGTCTCATGATGAGCTCCATCGAGGCGATAAAACATGATCGATGTCTGCAGAGAGACGGAAAGACGAGAAAACGAAGAACAGTGGAGAAAAATGCAAAGAGAGAAAGAGAAGAAGGGATTAAGACAATTTAAAAGATTCTCTCGGCGTGGAACCCAAGGGGAATGGAAAATCCTTCTTAAGGAGGCGTAACTCTCCCATCTTCAGGCATTAATGATCTTATGAGGGAAATTCATGCATTTTAAAGCGTTACTCTCGATAATGGGCAGGATATTTTCTCTAAGTGAATATTTTTCTTTGTTTCCATCGACAGTGGTCCCGAAGCCGGTGTCTCCAAAAACTGGGAGCGTTCTTGGAAAGGGTGAGTCCAGGTTTTCATTACTTCCATACTTGTTTTTTTTTTTTTCCTCCTTCCTCTTTTCCTTGCTGTTTTCTCAAGGGCAGGGGAAAGGGGAAGGGGCAATTTTCTCGATCCACCAAGACATGATGTTTGATGAGGGGTTGGAACCTCGTTATACTATCAAATGAGGTCTTTTGTCGTTTTCCCTTCCTCCGAAGGGAGAAAGTAATTCCTTTTCTCTTTTGCATGCGGAGGAAACTTTTTTTCTCGGCTCCTTTTATGCGTGTGTGCCATGCTTTACATAATTGATTGGAGCATCCCCAAGGACAAGAAGGACTCTGCTGCTCTCTTGGGAAGAACACTTGACTTCATTGTCGAGCATTGAAAAGGATGAGGGAGAAAAGGAAGAGCACTGTCTTCACCTGTCTCTCTCGGTCCCCCGGGTATGCTGGGGAGTCACGACAAAGAAACGTATTCTGGCACTTACAAAATTGCCTCCCCTTATATGAGGCTCTTCATTTTCCCGACACCTGTGTCAGTCTTACGATGATGAAGCCCCGTTCAAACCATTCGATTTTCCTCTGACAGCAAGAAGTCGTACGATATCTATTTTCAGATCGCGATCGCGTCTAGCAGCAATGAGCACAGCTCCAAATGAGTAATGGAATAAAGCCCCCGCCCCCCTGCGTCGACTGACGTCTTAGGTATGATTAGTGGATCTCGGTTAAGCGAATAAAAATGTTCATGGCCTCGACACAGGAGGTCAACAGTCAATAGTTTCAAGCGACATATGTTACAGGGCAATAGGGATCCCACGATAATGATCTCCAGGCTTCTGGGAGTCCTTAATATTCTCACCCTAACCCTAGAAAATAGCACGAAAAAGGTGTGAGAAAAAGTGAGGGGAAAAATCACCGGATTCACTATTCTCTTGTAGTGTACCGATTGGATGTGTTGTTCTAGTATTTGAGCTGCATTCATCCAGTAAAGTTAAACAGCACCTTCTTTGATATAGATATGAAATCCTATGAAAATTCATTCGATGACTCTATCTTTGACATAGATTAGACAATATTGTACATTTTAATACCTCGCTACAAACGGAATACGATGCCGACGGTTTACGCGAGGGGGGCACTTTTCGGCATTATCCTTTGCCACTCATCGCTATCCAGATTTCATCACAATGCCGATTTAAGAACCATGCCGATATCAAACTCATGCATATTTGGTAACTATACGATTTGGAAACCATTCCTTTGATAGCCTTGCCAATTTGATCATCATGCCAATATGATGCGAATCGAAATCCTCGTCTTTTTCCAGGAGGATCGCCCGGGGGGCGATGGAGGGAAGGCAAACTCTTGGCTGCGTCGATCATCTTTATCTTCCTAGTGAAAGCGTGGATCTCGCGCGGTCATGTAACCTGATCGCCATTGCGATGGTTCATCCATCTCGCGATACCGACTGTGACTATCAAAACACAATGATCATTGTTGCTTCTCTGAATGTGATGATGATGACGATGATGATGACTCGGTTGTCCTTTTCTGTTGTCCTTTTCTCCCCATCCGTTCCCTTCTCCTTCCGAGAGGGGGGTCCAATCATTTCTCACTCACTTTCACATTGATCCATGGACGAAGAGAAAATAAAGGCGAAATCTATCTTCCAATCCCGTCGTTTCTTCACTCCTAATGGTTGTAAAGTGAGGAAAGACTCAGATGGAGAAAAAAGGTAGGATAATTCCGCAAAGGAAGGAGCAGAGAGGAGTTCTTTAGACATGAATGCCTTGTGTTTACGGTGAAAATAAAGACTTCGAATGAGGTGACGTGGTTAGAGGAAAAACTATTTTTATGTCGAGGGGACGTGGCTATGGAAGAAATATTGAGGTGACTTGCTTGTGGTAGTCAAGGGCAGATCGATGAATCTGGGAAGTTCAATAACGCCATCTTTTTTGGAAAAAGAAAAGAGAAAAAGGAAGGAGGGAAAAAAGTCCCATTATATGCTAGAGAAGACGGGATGGTTGTGATCGATGGCCTTCATAGCTCCCTTCAACGTTACTTTTGGAGCAACGCTGGCATCAGTACTTTGAAGAAACCTCATTTCCCAGAAAAAGCTGCTGGCCTCATCAAAGGACACTGAAAATGAGTACGAAAAGCAAAATAAAAAAGGAACAGAAGAGAGGAGGGAAACACGGGAAAGGTTTCCTTCTAGGGGTCTGAATGGAATATTCATGGGTATAATGAATACATTATGGAGATTTTCTCCCCTTTACAGGCCTCGCTCCTCATTTGTAATCCAAACCGAGCATCCCTCCTATAATGAGCGGATGCATCCTATGGACACCTACGCTGAATGGAGAGGAAATTGGCCCCCATTCAGTTGGAAATTCCTTCCCTTGCCCTCCAAAACACGTCAGTCCGGGAGACGACCTCTACATCTGAATGGTCAGAAGAGAGAGAGAGAGAGAGAGAGGTGTGTGTGTGTGTGAAGAAAAAAGCTTGCGAAGAAGTGTTGAGACCCAGGGGGATATCCTCTTAATTGAAGGAGAACATTGGCTGGCTCTCTCAATATTAGCTCGACAAACACCGGCGACACATGTAGCGACGCGAAGAAATATAAAAAAAAGCTGCATATCTCACAGCATTTCTCATTTTGAAGAGAACTTGTCTCTTTATTTGGGAATCTCATTCATCATTCAGTCCCCTTTGTACCTTAAGGTACTTATGAATCCCACTTAAGGTGGGAATCATTAGGGAATGGCGCAGAGAGCAAACACGAGAAGGATTCCGTCTCCTGGGAAGGAGGGACATAAATCCGACGCCCTTCTCTCCCACGGTGAGAATCCATTGAATGGCCGAGCTTGGGGATCGATTCCATATCTCCCGTATTGTCCTCCTGCTGGTTTCCATTTCGACTCCTTCCCATCTTCAGCGATTCTCTTCCAGATTTCCGATTCCCTTTCGAGGAGAATGAAACCCGTGGGGTTCTTGAATGACATGTGCCGAGGGTCCCCGGGATTCCCTGCGGCTCTTTCACTTCCATCTCTCTTAACGCGTCGTCAAAGCCTACCATGAGACCGGATATGATGGATTGGGACTGGAATTGGGATCGAGGTCGGCATCGGGATTGACGGATCCCGTTTGGGCTTTTGGGATTCGGCGCCTTTGACTTTACGCAGTCTTTGCAGTCAAATGTCACAACGGCAGCAGGTCCTCTTTTTTTTATCTACGGTTTTCTTTCTAAAATCTGAAAAAGCATGCAACCATGACAGCGAACTTTCTTGAAAGATGGCTCTTGAGGGCTTCAAAAGAATTTCGAATGCCCATCAAGAATGCAGACCTCCAAAAGACGATATCGGAGCTGCTATCATAAGCCATTACCCTGCTGTCATATGAAGAGATACGGATGTAGTGAAAACTATTGAAATCCTCCCGGCAGAAGGAAGTGTTCCCTTACGAAAAGGTCCGAAAGGATTCCTATACATTCCTATAGGAATCCTATATGATTTTTTTTCGTATTTTCAGGACGAAATAGTTTACTGGGATGAGAGCAACGTTCGCTCATGTTTCTTCTCGCACTCTATGGTTTATTTTCTGAAACGGTGTTTTTGTAGTCATTAAAATATTTGGCACACCAGGAAAAACCTTGGCATAGTTATCTTGAAGGCCGAATATGAAGGAAACTACGAAAACCTATTTACATTTTGAAATCTGACAAAACGCATTTACTGCAATTTTCACAATTCTTTCTTTTTCCCACTTCTAGTCGTCACATCTCATGTTTATTCTCTTGAGTGTATATCCTTTACCGTTCTGGTCCAAAGTCGCCGAGAAGGAAGGTGGTATAACGCATGATAACAGGTTCAGCAAGCTGAAGAATCGCAGAGAGATTGTCAGAAAGATGTTTCATGATAGGCGAATCTAATATTAAATATTCGATCCTCTAATGACAAGAAGCATATGCCATGAATAACTCAGAAAAATAACTCTTTTGCACATCCGTACTTTCGACAATTAAAGCTTCTCCTGTGGCCAGGGAAGTTTCATTTGTTTCACCTCAGTATGTAGTTCAAACTAAATAACTTTTCGAAAAAGTTCACAGTGCACGATTCAATACATCATTAAAATATATTGAACTCTAATCGAAAAAAGTAAACGGATTCAAAGACAATAGAATAGGTTCTTTCCGATAAAAAAAAACGCATAAAATAGAGCAAATCTGAAGCGAGATATGACAGAGAATTTAGACGAAAAAAAAACCTCCCCTCCATAGACAATGCCACGGAAGAATGCGTTGGAGTCCTCCCTATTGCACCAGCACACCTTCGCGTATTTTACAAGGTCTTCGACGATTCAGTTCTACTTCATTGACTTTTAACCCTTTCAGGACCATAAGCATTGTGGGACAGCGACCTTAACTTTAATGACGTGTTTAGGGTGAAAATGACGTGTACTGTAGATTCCAAAAAACTTTGCTTGGAGGCTATATCTCCCATAGTTCTCGAGATATAACGTGGGACAAATATGTCCCACAACAAAAAAAAATACATTTTTTTCGAAAAATAATAAACAAATGAGTGTCGAAATGAGAAAATATGTTACAGTAAGTAAAAAGCATCGCCCTAGACTAATTCATTCAAATTTGGGAGGATTTTGAAAATATGGGACAAATACGTCCCTTGGTCCTGAAAGGGTTAAAGACTTCAACGCAATTTTACTGTACAGCAACCAACAGCACAGGACAGAATTTCACGCTTTGGCAGGAAACTTAAGGATCACTGGCACATTTGAGTGCTTGAATGACTGGATCCATGACTAGGCAACGAGGAGTGGGGCGGGGAGGTGGGGGAGGGGAGCTGGCGTCACTCCATTTTCTTTGCATCTAGCAATTTTTTCGCTTCAGACTTCATAAATTTTCTTGCGGGCTTTTGCAAAAAAAAGCTGAATAAATATTTTTAATTGCTTGAAGGAATTTTTCATATCGGATTGTCATGATGCGTGAAGATCAAGGATGCTAACATTTTTCTTAGGCACCTTTCAAGTCCAAAATCACAACTAGTTAATTCGTCCTTCCTCTATGAAGCATCTGTTTGGCATAAGCATCTGAATCGGTATTCCATGAAGATCGATTCTTGGTAAGACTTCATATCTTAATGGGATCTGGCTCTTCGTTCTAATGAAACATT